AGTCCCCTTGGGACCTCACCCCAAGCTTCTATCCCATGCTTCACATTTTCTTTTTGCTTGGTTCCCTACGCCTCACAGTCCTTCTGTGCAGAGTACCTGCAAAAAATTTCAAACTGGCTATCTTTTGGATATATACATACATACATATGCCCAGGAAACTCATTCTTGCTTTGCCAAATAGTGGGAGTACAAGTCACCCCACTACTATGACATATTATCATGGGCCTTCAGAATTCTCCGGGGAGAATCATTTTATCATGGGGTAAGGAGAAGAAGAAAACAAAGCATTCCCCCATGAACCAATGACTCATTATCTCAGTGACTTCTTTTTGAATATACATAAGCCATGGGGTAAGGAGAAGCATTCCCCCATGAACCAATGACTCATTATCTCAGTGACTTCTTTTTGAATATACATAAGATACAGGTAGGTAGATAGATGATCCCAGAACCAGGTTGGCCACTTTTTGGTAAACTCTGAAAGAAAAGGCTGTATGTAGATCCTTGGCATTCTAGCATCTACTTAGGACTTGAGTGAAATTCTGAGACTGCAATTAAAGTCCAATTCAACATTCGGTTTACAAAGTATAAAAAAAAATTAAGATAACTTCAAATTATAGAATTTGTAAGTACAGAATTATAATCATATTGTTCATATAAAATTTGTATACTTTTTTCCTCACTAGTCTTTCTTTTCTTCAAACTCCTTAAGCTTTTCATTCATGCCTTTTTGTTCTTGTTTGTTCCTCTTCCTGGACACTCTGCCTCCCCAATTTTCACATGCTTGAATTTTACTTTTTATTCAAGTCTTATCTTCTCAGAGGCCTCTACTGACTATTCAACTTAAATTAGCCTCTCCAATACCTAATGGTTGTGTTTTAGCACTTAAATTCTTATTTGTTACTGGATTACTCACCTATCTGCATAAGGAATATGTGCCATGAGAATAGAGAACTTATCTTTCTTTTGCACTTCTGTAAACTCAGCACCTAGAACAGGGTCTGGCACATATTATATACCCTATAAACATTTGGTGAATGAATGAACGAACATCATGAGCTTTTTTCCACAAGCTATTAAAATGTCTGTGTAAACATTAATCTTACAATTCAACAACAAAAAAACAATGCAATTCAAAAATGGGCAAAGGATCTGAATAGACGTTTCTCCAAAAAGATATAAAAATGGCCAGTAAGCACATGAAAAGATGCTCAACATCACTAATTATTAGGGAAATGCAAATCAAAACTACAGTGATCTACCACTTTACACTCATTAGGATGGCTATTATATTAAAAAATCAAAAGCAGAATAACAAGTGTTGACAAAGATGTGGAAATAATGGAACCCTTGTGTATTATTTTTTGGTGCGAATATAAAATGATGCACCTGCTGTGGCAAACAGTATAATGATTCCTTAAAAAATTAGACAGAATTGCCATATGATCCAGCAATTGAGCTTCTAGATATTTACATGAAAGAATTGAAAGCTGGGGTTCAAATATATTTTATACTAGTGTTCATAGCAGTGTTATTTACGGTAGTCAAACGGTAGGAACAACTCAAATATCCATTAATGATGAATGGATAAACAAAATGTGATGTGTGTATACAATGGAATATTATTCAGCCTTAAACAGGAATGAATTTATGATGCATGGTACATCATGTATGAATCTTGAAAACATGCTGAGTGAAATAAGCCAGATACAAAAGGACTAATATTAGAATGATTCCATTTATATGAGGTACCTAAAATATGTCAAATTCATAGAGACAAAAAGTGGAGTAGTGGTTCCCAGGGGCTAGGGGAAGGCATAACAGGGAGTTGATTGTTTAATGGGTACAGAGTTTAAGATTGGGAGGATGACAAAGTTCACGGGATGGATAGTGCTGATGGTTGCACAACAGTATGAATGTACTTAATGCCACTGAATTGTGCACTTAAAAATGGTTAAAATGGTAACTTCTGGGGTATAAAACAAGGATACTTCAAAAAGTTCATGGGAGGATTTATATTATCTTTTAATTCTATTTTTTACAAACTTTTTGAAGTACCCTTGTATATTTTGCCATAATAAAAAAAATTGAAATAATTTTAATTTTAGTAGCTTCTTAATATTCTAGCATATAAGTGTGCTATATTTTATTTAACCATTACTTCTGTTGTCCTTTCATATGGATGTTGGAAGGTGGTAATTTTTGTTACAAATAAAGCGATGATAAAGTGTGAATATGTAAATCTCAGATGTAAAATTATTAGATCAAAGGATATATATAAATGTTTTGATGTCTTGATTTCCTAGTGCCAAATTAATTTCCAGAAAGATGCAGTATTTTACATTTGTACAGACCTTTGAGTAAAGATTCAAATCTGAATTTTTATATAGAAAGATTTATGTATATTCATCAAGTTATCTCTCATCACTTTACATAACGTTAGGTGTGTTTTACTTTTCTTTAAATAATTCACATTTATATAACATTTAGCTTTTTTTTTAAGCCTTAGAACCAACACAGAAAAGAAACACTGATTAATTGTATCAAGTTTGCCTGATATCTGATACATGATATTGTGGTACACGTTGTCAGGTTGTATGGGTAGGGAAGTGTTATAGGAAAGGAGGTAAATGCTGGCATTGTATTAGGTTGATTTAATTATTTTTATATATTGTAAAATATATAAACTAGAAAACTATTGCTATTCTAGGAGGATAAGCTACCTTATGAATCCTATTTCCTCTTTAACTGACATCTATAGGTTAATAAGTGAAGCATTACTTTGTTAATTGTTTTCTCATTGTTTGAAGAGCTGCTAAAATTTATAATTTTGCTTATCAGTCACAAAAGTTTGATTCTAAGAAATCACATTACTTAGTTGCTCAGCATCTAAGCCTAAGGAATCAGTTGTAATCAAGCGACACTGTTCTAATTTCTCTGTTCTAGGAATAGAAAGGGGTTTAAATATGTGGCAATATAGTTTTTTTTTGTTCTTGTTGTTGGTTTTTTTTGAGTGTTCAGTAGAGAATGGGATTGTAGTTAAAATTCACTTGTAAACTTAAGGACATTTTTCCAAGAATTAAGATTCCTTTAACATGTTGGGAGATAGGGGCAATATGTTTGCATATACATATGTATTTCAAGCAGTACATTCCCATATGTGGTTTCACTATAGAGCTTCATCAAGAAAGCGTTCTCTTCTAAAATTATGTTCACAGATATTGAGCCAAGTCCTAGTGTGTATTTGAGAAGTTTAAAATTGGCTTAGAAGTTTCATCATACCACCTTTGTTGAACAATTGGAGAAACCTTAGAGATCACACAGTTTTGAATACAAAAAGCCATAATAGCATCCTGGTGATTCTTAAAGTTACTTTTAAATGCTCTCCACAATGGTCTGGGATGACTACCCTCAAGGTTGAGCCAGTAAATCGGAAAAAAAGGGAGTTCTGTTATATAAAATGATCCCATTTATGAATTAGACCCTTGTTCTTAAGCTTGAGTTTGAAGTTCATTTTGTTCTCATAAAAGTTTTCTTGATGTCTTATGCTTATTATAAATGGTCAAAACACTGACTACTTTTTATTTGGATTGCTTTCTAATTTTAATTTCATGTACTTAATGATTTGGTCAGATAGTCTGCATTTTTAAGTACTATTGAGTTAGTAGAATGTCCGACGTATTTTTTATATCTGATCCAGCCAAGTCAGAATAAGGCTAAGCTTGAAACAACACACAAAAATTACTACTCTTCTTCCAAGCTAGATTTAACAACGTTGTCAGAGAGTACACTTTTACAACAGTTCGAAAGATGACAATAGTCCATTCCTAGCACAGACCAAGTTGCAAAGGAGTTATATGTCTCTGAAAGTATTCAGAACTGTAAAATACCACAAAAGGATCTCCTGCTTCTAAATTTTGACCTGGGTTATTCACTCTAATTCTCTCGGAAAGAACTTTTCACGTCAAAGGAGAGAAAGTTAATAAACCATAATAATAATGAGGTAGTGAGCTCTACCACTGGAGAGTGAAATAGAACAATTAATGTATGGTAATGTCAATAAGCAAGAATCTATAAAAAGGTTTGGCATTGAGGTGAGATAAAAGATAGATAATTTATAGATAAAACTACACTTCAGAAAATTGATATTACTGGGCCGGCCCAGTGGCGCACTGCTACAGTGCGCCGCTTGGGAGCGCGGCGGCGCTCCCGCCGAGGGTTCGGATCCCACATACAGACCGGTTCCCGCTCACTGGCTGAGCGAGGTGCGGGCGCAGCACTGAGGGTTGCGATCCCGTTGCCGGTCCCGGTCCGGTACAGGCGCGACACTAAGGGTTGCGATCCGTTGCCGGACACGAAAAAAGACAAAAAGGGAAAGAAAAGAAAATTGATATTACCAACTAAGAACAGGTGACTTTGCTCACTTTGGGGGCACTCTATTAGGAAATGTCAAAGTGGAAAGAAAGGATGTAATAGATTCCTTAAGGCGAGGGGGAGTGCTGGTCAGTTGGAAAATATATTCATTTGCATCATGCCTCACACTTATTAAGACTCACCTAATTAACAACTTGATTTAGGGCTCTGCCTCTAGGTAATTATATTCTGAGTTTCAAAATGACTAAAAAGCACATGTTTGGATACAAATTTTATGTTGAGGAGTACCTCTTAAAACATTCTTCTAAATCAAGTGTCAGCAAACTTTTTTATTCAAGGGCCACATAGTAAATAGTTGAGGCTTTACAAGCCATACAGTCTCTGACACATCTATCCACCATTTTAGTGGGAAAGAAACCATGAGCAATACATAAGCAAATGAGCAGGGCTCTGGCCTGGGAAGACTTCATTTACATAAATAGGAAGCAGGTCAGATTAGGCCATAGGGTGTGATTTGATGACTCCTGTACTAAATGGAAAAATGTTAAGCTACCCTGTGTATTTTACTCTCATTTTTTTATACGCTACAATCTCTTTGTACAAATTCTCAACATTATTTTATTTAGTTACTTCACGAAAACCAAGGGAAGATGAAAAAGATGGGCAGGCATATAAATTTGTGTCACGATCTGAGATGGAAGCAGATATTAAAGCTGGAAAGTATTTGGAACATGGGGAATATGAAGGAAATCTCTATGGAACCAAGATTGATTCTATTCTTGAAGTTGTCCAGACTGGACGAACTTGCATTTTGGATGTCAACCCACAAGTAAGCTGTTCTTTACGTTTTATTTCCTATGGAGTTTTTTTTTTTGGGGGGGGGGAGGTTGTTTATTTGTTCATTTGTCAGCGTGTGAGTGTGGCTCTTTCCCTCTGTTACCTTTTGGTGATAGAGATCTTTATTATGCATCCATAGCTAGTTAGTTAAATAACTCTGATTTAATTAGCCAACAGAGGCTTGGGTAGCAGTAGAAACCATGTGATTAAATCTGAAGTGGAAGTTTGGTATTTATTTACTTGCTCGCATAATACATAAATGCATGCGTTAGGAAATGAATAAAATGTAAAACTCAAACAAGGCTGCAGTATAATGAATAAAAAATTGAAGTCACTCCCCCTCCCATCTGACACAGACACACACCATTTGTTTTATTTTCATTCCATGTCTTTCTCCCACTCCTACCTCCTTCCCACCCGTCTACACTCAACCCAACCTCGCTTCCCTACTCAGAGGTAAATATTATTAATAGTTTGGTATGTATCTTTCTAGTCATTTTAGTATACTTTAAATACAAACATATGTAATGGGTTTTCTATTTTTGTTTCTCTTTACACAAATCGCAAAATTCTATACAGATTCTCTAGCTCTTTTATTAAACCATATTTCTTGAAGGTCTTTTCATGTCAGTTACTGTAGAGCTTTTTTTTGTTCTTTGTAGTTACTGCATAGTATTTCATCGTATGGTTGTATATTCATTCATTTAACCACTCTCCAATTAATCAACACTGAGATTATTTCTACTTTTTCAATATTAGCAAAATTCTACAATTAACCTAGAAAGAGTTTACATCACTCTTGATGATTTGGGGATCATTAAGTTTTACTTTCCTTTGTTCAAGAGGAACAAAGAGGAGTGAGACTAAGTTCAGAACAAAATAAAATAAGTATTTTAGGAAAGTACTATATGGAATCAGAAAGACAGAAGAGGAACAGGTATTAAATTATGTCCTTAATCCTTAGGAAGAAGGTAGATAGACTTTGATTTGTACTAAAGAGTAACTTAATTCAAGTTCTAATACTATATAAATTGATTTATAATTATTCTTCTATGCAGGCACTGAAAGTGTTGAGGACATCAGAGTTCATGCCCTATGTGGTATTTATTGCTGCTCCAGAGCTAGAGACTTTACGTGCCATGCACAAGGCTGTGGTGGATGCAGGAATCACTACCAAACTTTTAACGGTAAGCAGTTCTTTGCAAGCTAACAGTCTTATTTTCCTCTTAAGATTTTTTTCTTTTCTTTTGAGAAGTGAAAATCTAATCACACGTATGAAATAAATGTACTGCATAGGTATTATACAGAATAAAAATTCATTACTAGGTGTAGTTAGCATTTGGAATAGTATTGTTTTTATTTGAGCTGTTACTTGAAAATTATTGTTCACTTTATTTTAAAACAAAAGTTTCATTCTCCTTTATAAAATGAAATGGACCAGTATTAAAATATACATATTAATCCAACCCCCTCATTTTACTAATAAAGTAACTGGCCCCAAAACCATTTACAAATATATTTATCATGTGGTTTATTCCTGGTTAGGTGTTCTGATGTTTAGTTTCTGTTACATGTTTTCTCTTTTTCTCCCTCTCTCCTTTTTCATATTACGGAAATTTTAAAGTATATACAAAAGAGGGAAAAAATGAATCCCACATGTCCATCACCTAGTTTTAGTAATACATGTCTATTCTTGTTTCAATTAGACCTCTCCCCACTTCTTTCATCACCTTGAATTATTTTGAAGTAAATCTCTGGTATCATATTATTCATTAATACTTTAGTATTTACCTCTAAAAGATAAAGACCTCTTTAACATGATCATAACATCATTAATGTGCAAAAAATCAATAAGCAATATCCTAATATCATCAATGTACAATCTATATTTTAATTTGTCTAAGAGTTATAATTATTTTTCAGTTGATTTGTTCAAATCAGGAACCAAACAAGATCAACATTTACTTGATGTCTCCTAAATCTCTTTTTTTCCAGGCTTAACTGAGGTGTAGTTGACATATAATAAACCATGCATATCTAAAGTGTTTGGCTTGATAAGTTTGGGTGTGTGTGTGCACTCATGAAACCATCAAAACCAAATAATGATCATGTTCATCCCCTCCACACAGTTCACTGTGCTCCTTTGTAACCTCCACCACTCTCACCTTTTACCCCACTGTAGCTGATAATACACCTTGAAATCAGGTAGTATTGGTCCTCTTTGTTCTTCTTTTTCAAGTTGCTCCATGTCTATACTTAACTTTCTGAATATCCTTTCTGAGATAGGATAAGTGTCTAATTTCATCGTCTACTGATTCTAACATTTGCGTCAGTTTTGATTGAATGATTTTTCTCTTCATTATGTGTTATGTTTTCCTTCTTCTTTGCAATCTCGGTAATTTTTTTGGATGCCAAACATTGTGAGCTGTCTTCTGGGATATAGTTACAGGTATTTGGAAACAGTTTGTTTCAGGTTTTGCTTTTACAATTTGTTAGGTAAGACTGGAGCAGTACTCATTCTAGGACCAGGTAGTCCCCACTAGTGAGGCAAGACTCATGAGGTTTTGTGTTCTGACTGGTGGGAATAGGTACTATCCCTGGCCCGCCTTTCTGGTGGTTCTCAAGTAGTTGTACATGTGCCCTGATTGGTGTTCAGCTGAATACTGGAAGGAAACCTCCTGCAAATCTCCAAAGTTCTCTTTCTGTGCCACTCTTCCCTTCTCGTATTCTGTCCTGTGTCCTCTTGCCACTTTGGTCTCCCTGGACTCAGCTCTTTGCTCAACTCAGAGTCCTGTAGGCTCCTCTTGGACTCTCCCTCCTGGGGCTGCATCCTGAAAACTCATTTAAGCCACTGTGTTAGTCCATTTCTGCTGCTTATAACGAAATGCACGGAACTGGGTGATTTATAAAGAAAATGAAATTTATTGCTTATAGTTTTAGAGGCTAGGAAGTCCAAAGTCCAGGGAACATATCTGGTGAAGGCTTTCTTTGGTGGTGACTTCAGTGACGGCAGGGTATCACATTGTGAAAATGGCAGAGCAAAGAGCGCAGAGAGAAAAACAGACTCTCCTCTTTCTTCTTTTAAAGCCCTCAGAACCATGCTCCTGACTATCATTATTAATCCATCCACTACGTCATGGTCCTGCAGTCTGTTTGCCTCTTCAAGGCCCCACTTTCAATTGCCATAATAGGATTTCACACTCTCAAAAGTCACAGTGGGGATTAAGTTTTGGGGGACATTCAACCCAAGGCAGCTGCCAATAAACTGGGATAATCATAGGGCTTATTTCCTGTCTCTCTGGGGTCTCTGTCTCTTGTTGCCTGATTTACCATGTCTTTTTTTTTTTTTTCCTTTTTGTCTTTTTTTCGTGTCCGGCAACGGATCGCAACCCTCAGTGTCGCACCCATACCGGACCGGGACCGGCAATGGGATCGCAACCCTCAGTGTTGCACCCGCACCTCGCTCAGCCAGTGAGTGGGAACCGGTCTGTATGTGGGATCCGAACCCTCGGCGGGAGCGCTGCCGCACTCCCAAGCAGCGCACTGTAGCAGTGCGCCACCGGGCCGGCCTATGATTTACCATGTCTTAAAAACTGTTGTTTTATACATTTTGTCTGTGTTTTAGTTGTCAGGTGGGAGAGTTAGTCTGGTTCCTGAAATTCCACCTTGGCTGGAAGCAGACATCACTTTATAATCTGTGAATTCGGCCTGCCTCCCTCCTTCCCCTCTCTTTTAACATTATAATTTAGCTGTTTGGAAAAGTGGGTCATTAATCCTACAGAGTGTTCCATAGTCTGGATTTTACCAATTCTATCCTCATTGTATCATTTTTCTCTATCTCTTGTATTTTCTGTAAACTGATAGGCAGGTCTAGAGGCTTGATGAGGTACAGGTTCAGGTTTTTTTGTTTATTTGTTACTTTTTGCAAGAATAATAAGTGTTACTTATTTTTTTTACCTCATAAGGCATATACGAGGCTGTCTTTCTGTGTGATAAGATTAATCAGTGGGTTCGGATGTTGTTAACCTTTATGTTGATCCATAAAGTTCCCCAATAAATTTTCACCTAATGATTTTAGCAAGCCTTGTTGATCTTTTGATCTTTGCCTAGATCAATTTTTTTCTTTTTTAGGGATGGCAAAGTGGTATTATTCTAAGTTTGTCATTCCTTCTGCATTTATAAACCAGAGTTCTTCAAAAGAACTTTTCTTCATCAACTAGTTGATTACTCTGAGGTACAGTTTGTACTGGAAAGGGAGGATATATGCTTGATACTGTCTCTCTATGGATTCAGCTTACAGAATAATGAGATAACTCCCCGAGAGCCTCCAGAGAGGTGACAGGTGACCAGATGAAGTTTGTTTTCTTTGTTTTCAGTTTCAAAAGCACATGGGTTCAGACTTATTTGATATGCTTTACTCTATTGCAGTTATTATTCTTACTGATGCTCAAATTGTCTCATCTTTCACCAGTAGGAGCATATTCTGGTTGGTTCTTGAGACCTTTATTCATGAGCCTCATAGTCTTGAATAGCTTCCTTGCAGGTATCTGGTATAACAAATGTTTCAGGCTCATCTTGTTCATTTCCTATTCTAGGTCGGGAATGCACCATTTTTTCCAAGATGCTCTGGTTTCTTTTAGAGTGTAAATACTATTTTAAAACTGTAATACTAGGAGTTCGCATTGTCACAGGGTCAATAATTGTTTCTAGCTAGACCTTTTCATGTAGTGAGAGCTAGGATATCTGCTTTCATGTTTGTATGTTTGAAGGAAAATGTATCATGAATTCATACTGATATTTCCCAATCAAATTTAGGATTACAGAGTTTTTATTCAACTTTTTTTTTTATCTTACATGTCTGTTTTCTTTCTCTTATATTGAATATCCCAATTCACAAAAACACTGGGAATGTTAGAATTAGAATATCACGTAATCACTCATTTGCTTTATCCCACAGTGCAAACTCAGCCGTCTGAGAATAAATATAGCAACACCACCTCCAATGGTGGATCACTGCGAACGGGTCACTGCTCGCTCCCAACCCCCAGCCAGTGCTTTTTATCCTTAGGTTATATCCCACTAAGTAACACAGTCAAATCTCTGTGTTTTAAAGTCACTTGCAGTACTTCCTCTCTATGTACTTAGGTCAGTTATTATTTCTGATGTTTAAATTGTTCTAGCTTCAGTTAGTAGGAGCCTATTCAGCTTGACCTCTGAGTCTGTTTAATACAACCCCAGTAGTCTTTGATGATTCTTCGCTTCCTGGTATGACAGGCTATTCCAGGTTATTCTTATACACTTCCTGGCTCAGACCTGGAATCAACCATCCAAAAGCCCAGGTTCTTTTTAGTGAGAAATGGTATTTAGAAATATCCTAGTCACTAAGGGTATGCATTCAACTCAGCTGGACATTGTTTCTAGGCATTTTCAGTGGCCAGATGGAAAACATACATAACAGGTTCATTTGATAGTTACTGTTCAAATTTATTTTTACTTCTTTGACCTTTTATTTGCCTTTTTTCCCCTTATGCTGAAAATTTTGGTTCCTGATGACATTAACATAATTTCTTATTTTACATATATATGAAAATAATCTAAGTACACACATGCACATATATGTAATTTCTAAGTAACAATATCAGTATTAGCAATATTATTATTGAAAAGTTAAAGTTTCAGGCTTTTGTTTTATTGTTGTTAGGATACAGCTCACTAGATATTAAATTATTTTAAAGTCACTGAAATTATTCCTTTCTATGTGGTTAAGCAACCTATTTGAAATACAGATGTTTCATTTTGCTTTTGATTTTTAGGTATTGCTCTATTTTCCATCTGAATTTACTTTTGTTGTATAATTCTATACAACATCATGTGGTTAAGCAACCTATTTGAAATACAGATGTTTCATTTTGCTTTTGATTTTTAGGTATTACTCTATTTTCCATCTGAATTTACTTTTGTTGTATAATTCTATACAACATTTTAATAATTCCATGTAAACCTTAAAAACAGCTCTAGCTTTTCTCTGCCCTCTTCTTCTGTTCCCTCCCACTGCCTTGGTCAGCTGCTTTTGATAGCTATTTTTACAGTTTTATTTTTTAATATAAGTAAGTGTGTATGTGTATTCTCCCTCCCCCATTTCTTATGTAAAATGTAACTTATTATATACAATCGTCTTCCTGCATTTTTCACTTAACCAGTATAGCCATAGAGAGAGGTTCTTTAGTCCTTTTCCCATCTGTATGGAATACTCCATTATTGTTACAGGATTTTTTTTTAAACAAATCCGATTGCAAATGACTATAATAGGTAAGAATTGCTTTCAAGTTGAACTGTTGCCTATTTACTCATCTGTTATCAGAGATATTCCAGTTGTTTCAAACTTATTTAGAAATCTCAGTGAAAGTATTAAATATAAGTATTAGGGTTCCTTGGGCTGGTGGTGAACCCGCTTCTCTCTCTACACTTTCCCTTAGGTATTTTCACCAAAATCATTTACACTCATACCGTTGTTATCCTGATGTGTGTATATATAGTAGCCTAGATGTCAGCACTCCAACTTGTATAACCAATCACCTGCTTTACATCTCCACTTGGATGCCTCACAGACATCTTAAACTCACCATGTACATGTTTTCCTCAGCCCCATGCCTCAACTCTGCATCTTCTACAGCCATCATTTACTCAAGCTGGAAACCCAACAGCTAGCCTTGTTTCATTTGTTTTATTCTCTTATTACATCCAGCCCATCGGCTAATCCTCATGATTTTATCACCAAAATAAATTTCCAGTCTGGTGCCATTTCCATCTTTTCTGCCACCATCATAATCCCGACAACTTTTCTCTGATTACTGCTATCAGTCTTCCTGCTTCCACTCCTGTCATGTCACCTTCCTACTCAAGACCCACAGCTGTCTTTCCCGTGCATCTGTGTCCTCCATGACTTAGTTTCCCCCCAACCTCCAATTCATTATTGGTCTTTTTTTAATATCTTAAATATACCAGGGTGATTTCCTTCCTGGATTTTGCATTGCTGTTTCCTCTGCCTGGAATATTCTTTGTCTCACTATGCATACAACCATCTCCTTATTTTCCTTTAGTTCTCAACTTAAATGTCATTTACTCAGTGTCTTTCAGATCACTGTATCTAAAGTAGATCTCTTAAAATTGTTTGTCCCTGGTTTGTGTCTTTTATAGTATTTATTTCAACTTGTAATTTTTTGTTTATTTGCCTTTTATCTGTCTCCTCCACAAAAGAGTAGGAGCCATCTCTTTTTTACTAATTGTTATAGCCACCAATTCTGAAACATAGTAGATACTTTAATAGGAACTCGACAAATATTTGTAGAATATGTATAATTATAGTGAAATTTCAAAGCACTTGCAATTTTGTGAAAAGCTTTACTTGCTCATGCAGAATCTATTACTTAAGAACTCCCCATATCATTCCAAAATGATTAAAATTACTGTATAAAATATAAAGAATACTAGGACAAAAACATAAATAAATAGAAGTGAGTGTCTTGGTGGGGGATGGGCAGCATGTAAAGTAATCTTCAAAATACACTTCTAAGATTCTCTGACTTTCTTGGAGACAGGCGACAGATTTGGCTTTCAGCCTAACAGCCACTGCAAAGTGGGTTCCATGATTTACGTAGGCCAGAAGATAAAAATCTTTCAAAAAGAATGATATAGTTGACCTAGAAACCAGTTACCTGTAATAACTTTTATTACCTTATATTCACCCTAAGATTATTGTCAGCAGTCTTTTATTAGGAATCTTACCCTAGTATCAATGAAAAAGAAGATACAGAATACTCATAAATGCAGACATGAGCGCAGATGGAAAAGACTAGGATATGGACAGTTGGTGATTTCTTTTTTAACAATGTATAGATTAAATTTTGAGGATTAACATCAGAATTATAATAAATATCCAACCTACTTATTTCTTATGTTCACTTTTAGTTGGAGTTCGAGCAAGTAGATATGCATTGTAATGCAAACATTTCCTTTTGAAACTCTCAACAGGACTCTGACTTGAAGAAAACAGTGGACGAAAGTGCACGAATTCAGAGAGCATACAACCACTATTTTGATTTGATCATCGTAAATGACAATCTAGACAAAGCCTTTGAGACACTACAAACTGCCATTGAGAATCTGAGAATGGAACCACAGTGGGTCCCAATCAGCTGGGTTTACTGATAATTCAGTAAGGTTAACAATTAAAATAAAACTTTTAAAAAGTGACTGTAAGAAATAAACCTTCTACTGAGAAAATACATGCACAGATAGAAGATATTTGCCAAGTCTAGGCATTTTTTTGTGTAGATTGAGATACCAGTACACTATTCTGAATTTTTATATAAAATGTGGTTGGGAGGTGTACTAATATATAATTTATCTTAATTTTTCTAACTTTTTATGGATAATCTTTTTATTCATATCACATAAAGAAATGCGTTGAAGCATTTTGTATATGTTTTGATTTAGCGCCCTTGCCTTTTTCATGAAAGGAATTTTCAAATCATTTACTCTAACATTGGTCTCACATTTTCACTGTGATAATGAATACTTGAAGTAGTTTTGTAAGGCTGTCATTTAGTTCAGTATTTAAGTAGTGAAGGGTCAGTTACTCTTATTAGAAAAAAATAGTTATTTGCCTTCCTTCTTAATTAAATTTCTTATAGAAGCAGAATTTTAATGTCAGTGCTACAGCTAGTCTAGTACCATCTAAATCTGACATCGAAAGTCTGTTCAGTGCTCCATATGGCTATCCATTCTAATTTGTACAGCGTATGTTTTTTTCCTTTATGTCTATCTTTAGTGGAAAGTTGAAGAGCAATACCTTGCACTCTCTTTGGAGGTTGTTCTTTTCCTTTGTTGCAGTGACATGCTGATGCTAACTAATTTAACATGTACACAGTAAGCTCTGGGCTGGAAGCAAGGTCATGCAGACTGAGAGGGTGCCTTATGTAAAACCTTACAGCAAAATGACACTTTTGAAGAAAGTTTATTTTCACATGTAAAAACTTAACTGACAAAAATGAAGCCACTACTTTAGATAGGTTCTTTTTTAGGCTATGGTCAGCAAATGTATCATGCCTCTGCAAATTTCTGTGATATGTAAAGATGCCTCTAAATTTGCACTTAGTGGTTTTTGGGAATGATCAGTGTGCTTTTTGAAATGTTATGTGATCATTAGGGCACTTGTTCTATTTGTTGTGTTGAGAACCAAATCCATTGAACAATTTACAAAATCTGGAAATAATTGTCAGCTGTTTTTTATATATATGCATACTAATATATACATTATAAAATATGTATATCATATATGTATTATATAATATATAATGTGTATATTATATGCATTATATAATATATATTAAATAATGTTTTGTACTTTTTACATTTCTGTTAGGAAATACACATTTTTGTTTAATGATTAGGGGAAAAAAGTTCTCTTTTAGATGCATTCACATAATGTACAAAGTCCCATATTCACCTAGTTACTATCTTCCTTTAGGATTCTTGGATGATATAAATTCTTCCTAAAACATATCCAGAGATCCAGTTTATCATTAAACTATGTTAACCATATTTTATATTGCTGCTAGTTTTTCATATAAACAGTATTCACACTTTGAGTTAGATGCTTAAATATCGGTGATAATCTTTGTCTGGTGGTAGGCCTCATACACCTGACTGCTGAATTTGTTTTTCCCCTTGCCAAAGCTATCACATGAAATGCCAGGTGGAAGGATTTTAAGGGAAGAGAAAATATATGGCAATAAGCAGTATTCACACAGTTTTAAATCTTTGTCATAAAAAAAAATACTCAAGTTGCTGTATTATTAAAATTGAAAATCTGTATGTTTACTTTTTCTAATTCTGGAATTTCATAGCCAGAACACAAATTCATGTTCCTTGTCCTAGGACAGGATATTGGTGATAAAATGAATCATACTCTTTTAATAACTTTGGAAACTTTTAAACTACATATATTTACACCAAATTCTTGGCTTCTCAAAGCCACATGAGTCAAAGCACAGTATCATGGCAATGTCATATGACTTAGTGTTTCAACACACTGTAAATTTTAAGAGAAATTTGTGTTCTGCACTCTCAGGAAATGTGCTATGTTCTCCAGTGTACTTTCATGCTGTTGCATGGAGCCTCTTTAAACAGCTTTGGGATCATTGTAGCAGCACAAGAAGCTTATCTGCAAAATATTTCAGTCATCTTGATACCATAGAGGTTACTTTTATACATCATATATATTTTAGCCTTATCATGTGATATGAAATACATATTATTTAGAAATTAGTCTATACTTAAAGGAATTATTTCTATTATAAATGGTATTTATGATTGTTTAATTAACACACATTAGATTTCTCCTATTAATATAGAATGAAATGATGCAGTTTAGTTCATTTCAGTCTAGATGCCAATGCTGAAGAGAAAAAATTTAGAAAAGCTCATTGTATCTCAATGAAGAGTCATCAAACTTAAAACCTAAGTCCCATCTGAGTCTGCAGGCTCTGCTGGGACAAGGGGCACAGATTCTTCCTAGGGCCTCAGAGATTCTTCCTAGGTGATGAGTAGTATCACAACTTTCTTGATCACACAAGAAAATGTGAACTTCTCTTGTGGGAAAAGTCTAAGATAATTAGCTTTATTGAAGAGGGAGGAGATGGTTTAAAGTGATGCTGAAAACTGGTAATACTTAAAATATAGATACATGTACATATGCTTTGGGAAAACATGATGTGCCAATACATTAATGCACGTGAGGATTCCTTGTGGTCGGGTGGGTATTCACATTCAGTATTCAGGGTGTGCCTATGTACTATGTACAACTAAATATTATATACTTTTTTTTCATTTTCAAATGTACAAATACCCACAGAGGTGATATCCCTGGATAAGTCATTTAACCATAACTGGAGGAATATATGTAATGCCCTACAAGTAGAATTTTCACCTTTCTTACAGCCATGCCTTTGTTATGCAGTCTCCATTTCTGTTTTGATATTTGGATAATAGCAAATGTCGTATACATTGGGACTTTATTTGGGCTTCTCTGACTATATAGTTGCTGAACATAGCTTTCTAAAATGGAAATCCTATCAGAAACCCAGTATGACAGCAATAGTAGCCTAAACCATAGACTCTAGAATCTAATAGATGTATTCATAGTAGCCTATAATGAGGATTTTTTTAAAAAAATCAGCAAATTGGTTATTAAGACAAATTTAGAAAATAATGCAAAATAGCAATAAAATACAATAGTGTGACATATAGATTATAGCCAGATACTAACTGCTTTGTCCATAATATCCAAATGACTAAAAGATGATCCTTGCTTTAAAAATTCATTAAAATGGTACTTATATATATATAACAAGTGCCATGATCCAGTGATTGGAGTTGATTTTCAAGATGGATAGCCATAGAGCTAAGGTAAAATTAGTTTGAATTGTCAAATGCAAATAATCTACTTGCATTTTATTTTTATGACTTCTGAAACAGTACTCCATTATCCAGAAATCACAGGCATGAGAGCCAATAATTTTGTAGTAATGAATTTTTATACTAAATATGGAAAAGGCAGCCCTTAAGGTTTATGTACAATCGATAGCAGTTCATTTTTTAAATGTTTGAGTTGCCATAGATAATATATATACATACAGCTATGTGTATAATATGTAAAATTCTCCCAAAATACAAGAATGATAAAACTAAGTATATTCACCCAAGTAGTTACAACTAGTGTTAAATTTTTTAATCACTCCCAAATTCCTAGACATTCTGAAACTGTTTTACTAGGTTTTTTTTTTTCTTTTTTTTGGAAAGGCTCTGGTTCCACCTTGGAACTCATAGTAATCTTCTCTCTGAAAAACATATGGGTAAATAAGCTCAGAAAATTACCATTGTTAGCCATGCTAATGGTTTGTCAATTTTGTTTATCTTTTCAAAAAACCAACTTTTTGATTCGTTGATCTTTTGTATTGTTTTTTGGGTTTCAATTTGCCTTTTATTTCCTTCTCTTCTCTGATTGCTCTGGCTAGTACTTCCAACACTATGTTGAATAGGAGTGGTGAGAGTGGGCATCCTTGTCTGGTTCCTGTTCTTAAAGGAAAAGCTTTCAGCTTTTCCCCATTCAGGATGATATTGGCAGTGGGTTTATCATATATGGCTTTAATTATGTTGAGATACTTTCCGTCTATACCTAACTTATAGAGGGTCTTCGTCATGAATGAGTGTTGAATTTTATCAAATGCTTAAAAAGCATCTATTTCTTTATAGGAAGACTCATTCACAGGTCTGGTTAGTGAACCTCAAAATTCAGGCATTAATCCATTTTAGTTACTACTTCCTGATTGCTTCTCAGATATTGGCTGATAATGCAGTGGTGTGCTAAATCTGACAACTGCACACACACAAGTCAATCAGAAGTGACAATTGTTTTTTTCCTGCTAGCTTTTACTTTTTTCTAATGTCCAGCACGAACCAAATAAACACATCTATAGTTAAAGTAAACGCCACTTATATCTTGGAAAATGAAATGATCTACTTCTTATAAAACAACTGTCTTTGAGTTTCATAAAATAGGTATTGTTGCTACTGCAGAACAGAAGCCAAAAGGTCTTATTTTAAAAGTTGTAAAGAGATGTCTTTATTGCACTTCAGCTAACAGCAAGCCAGGAGTAGCAACCCGTATAAATATGACACCATACCTGAGATTTGGCTTTCCTCATGTCAGCCAAAATGGCCTGGGAGCATGGAAGAAGACTCATGAACTAACTTAAGGAGGAAACAACCATAGAATTAAAAACTCATCAGCAGTAAATTACCAACATTAAACCAGGAGTCATTACTGGTTAAAATGTGTGGTTTTCGTCTTATTCTTAAATAGGAGAGCTGGGCAGTAGTATAAGTAACTTAGCTTTGAAGACAAAAAGCTTGTTCTGGTAAACATGGTCCAAGTGAGAAATCCCTTCATCTTTTCAGGATTTGAGGCATAGCCCATCTACATCTTTACTTAGAATACAAGATAAGTATTTCTTTTGGCTGTGTATCCTCTTCTAAAAAGAGCTGTTGGCTGGCTCCTGTTTATTCAGTCACATTGATTCTCTTTAAAGAGGAGGCGTCTTGGATTCTGCTGCAGAAGTGTGAGCACTAGGGTTTGGCAGCAAGAGCAGCATCCTGCATGTTGAGTCTTTTGGAGCCCATGGTAGGGATTTGCTGTGAAAACCTTGCTGTGGGAATTTATTATTTTTTCCCCCAGTTCATTTTAATATATCTTTTTTTTCCTAACACAAATGCATGCTTTTGTTAAGTCTTTGATGTGGTCGTGAAAGAGAATCTTTTTTTTTAATGGAGGGCGAAGTGCTTGTTACCAATCTGAAAATCAAAGCTGAACAAACTGCTTGAGTAAGTTTCTGATAAAAAATAAAGTTTAAAATTAAAAATTAATTGCTATTGCTTTTCAAGTAATTGTATTACTAGTTCCTGTATAAAAGAAACATTACTGCTGTCCTTATATAAATTTTCCTGCAGTACAACTAAGTATTCATTTTCAAAATAAAGTTTAAAATTAAAAATTAATTGCTATTGCTTTTCAAGTAATTGTATTACTAGTTTCTGTATAAAAGAAACATTACTGCTGTCCTTATATAAATTTTCCTGCAGTACAACTAAGTATTCATTTTTCTGAAACTGTCCCTATAAATCTTTTATTTTGACATATTTCCATATGCTTTCCAAAAAATATTAAAAATGTTCAATCTGTGAAACTACATACTCCTGGTAAAATATTTTTGTATATATATAAAAAATAAATATTTACTATTGGAAAAATGTAGTGTTTCATTTATAGAAAGCACTGTGGTTTAGAGATAATAAAATAATGGAGGACATCAGATTAGCTTTGGTAATTTCTTTTAAGTGCTAACAGTCTTTGTAAAAAGCCCCTAATGTCATTTAGTTTTCTCCACCTAAATAAATTTTCATCTGCCTCTGTTCTTCAGCAAGGAAACACCCTAACCATTGTCGACTCTATCCCAGCCCAAGTGATTCGGTGGCTTTCAAAGAACACATTAGAGGTAAGAATTTTAGAGCGGGGGAAAATGAAAATATAGGATCAAGAGAATGAGTCTTCTCTGCTTAGATGGCATGGGATACTATGACCTTTTCCCAGCTAGCAAGGAAAGAGAAACCCTGGTGGGAAAGACAGTGAACCGACCCGCTGTGACACACAGCTCAGCCCTGCAGCCTACAGTGAGGGATGGCAAGAGAGGCATGGCTGTGGGTGCATGCAGGCCTCCAGAAAGGGGTCTTTCCAGCTCTTTTCCAAGCTATTTTCCAGGATTCCATACTACACACTTAAGAAATTGCTAGTCCTGTGTATTTCTGATGTCTCCAGAAGAATTTGGTTTTATAATGCTATTCTTTCATTTTATACTACCTGCCTAGTTTTCTATCACTGTAATAACAAATTACCACAAACTTAGCAGCTTAAAAGAATACAAATTTATTATCTCAGTTCCATAGGTCTGAAGTCCAACACAGATGTCACCAGACTAAAGGTAAGGTATCAGCCAGGGCCTGGAGGTCTAGGGGAGAATCCACTTCCAGGCTCATGCAGGATGCTGGCCGATTTCAGTTCCATACAGTTATAGGATTGAGGTCCCGGTTCCTTGCTGGCTGTTGGAGGATCTGCTTTCTTGTCCTTTTACTGGCCCTGTCTGTCTTCAGAGCCAGCACTGGTATGTCAGATCTTTCTCCTGGCCCCATCTTTCCTGCATTTTCTTTGGCCAACTCTCTCTCTCTCACTGACTCTTCTGCCTTCTTTAAGAGGCCACCCAAATAATCCAGCATAGTCAGCCCATCTCAAGGTCCATAATCTTAAAAACATCTGCAATGTCCCTTTTTGCAATGGAAGGAAACATACAAGTATTCACAGCTTCCAAGGACTAAGTCATAAATATCTTCGAGGGATTATTAATGGACCAACCATATGTCAGTAGTACTTCCCACATCCAGTTTTGAAGAAGTGGTCCTCTTTCCTGAATGGAAACATCAAAGTGGCTGTCCTGTGAAGTTCCAGGAAATATTATATTTTGCTTACTGTTTTTCAGCTGATCTGACCTGCTAGAACTTTTTTCCAAATCTACTTATGGGAAAATGTATGGTTCTTGATCTCAATGAGTAAATAAGGGTACATTTAATTTTTTTTTTTTTTAATATTTAATGATGAGCAACCTGGACATACCGTCTACTTGGAAGAAAACTTTTGAAGGCCCAGTGCCACCTCACTGCACACACGCCAGCACTACCTCACGCACCACATCTCTGCGGGTGTCTGCTGAGAAGCCAAGCAGTTAAGTGGAGGCTGGGAACACCCCTAGCAACATAAAACTACCTCCTTTTCAATAGCTAGTTTTTAAAATACCATCCAACATGGTAACTGGCCAGTCTTGGGGCAATTGTGGAAATGGCCAACTTCCTTAGTTGCCTGTTTGATGTAACCTAAATATTCAGCACTTGCTGGGATGGCCTCTTTTCTTTCTGTCTGAAGTCTATCTTTGGTTTTAGTTTTTGTATTTTAATTTAGAGGATAATACATAAAAAATTCTAACAGGAATAGAAGGCTGAAAAATCTCCCTCTGCCTCTTGTTCCAGCTTAAGTCCTCCCCAAAGGAACCACAGTTAGGTTTCTTGTGAACTCTCAAAGAGATTTTCCATGCATGTCAATACATGCATACAGTTGACCCTTGGGCAACACAGGCTTGATCTGCACAGGCCCACTTACACATGGGTTTTTTTCAATAAATACAGTACTCTGAATGTGTCTCATGATTTTCTTAACATTTTCTTTTCTCCAGCTTACTTTATCATAAGACTATAGTAAATAATACATACAAAATATGTGTTAATCAGCTATCTATATTATTGGTGAGGCTTCCAGTCTACAGTAAACTAAAAGTAGGTTAAGTTAAGGGAAGTCAAATGTTACAGGTGGATTTTTGAGAGTGCAGAAGGGTGTTGGCACTCCTAACCCCCCACATTGTTCAAGGGTCAACTGTGATTTTTTACACCAGTCGATTCATATTATACATTCTGTTTGCAGTTTGTTATTTATACTTTATTTCCCAAAAAAACAGACAAAAAGGCATATATAGTGCCAGTATTTTAGTGCAACTTTTGCATAGTCCTTTCCAATTTGTGTATGAGGTGCTCATTTTTGTATAATAGCCACCACAGTATACAACTTTATATCCTTTTTTCCCCACATATCATAAGCATCTATATAAGGTTGAGTCTCATTCTTAATGGAGGTGGTGAAAAGGTTATTTGCCTTGTTTCTTCCTTGTTAAAATCTGAAGGGAAGAAAGGGAGTAACTGGATGATGCTGAGCTCAAGAAAGAACGTATGCTGAGTAACATGTTTCTGTCCAACAATTGCTGCTCCTCAGCCCTGGTGACTTCAGGTCCCCAGTGGATAGTAACAGATCCTGTCAGTGGAGTCAGGGTCTCTAGGGAGACAGTCCAAGCTATTTACAGTAGAAGGACGTCAAAACAGAATAAAAGGCAAAACATACACAGTTCAAAGTTTCCTTTGGTAGATACATAGTATTTTACAAATTTCATTAGTCAGATGCATAGGAAATCAAGACATTGTTCTAGACATAGAATTAATATGTTCATCAAAGCATGGCAAGGTCAAAATGTATATAGCTAGACCCCCAAGCAGGGGTGTGTTGCTATCAGATTTTTTTTAGAATAATTTTGTTTAGCAGAGGAATATATATACTCTAGTAGCATTTATAGTTCATTTTCAATCGCCAAATAACAGCACTTCCAGCCTCTTCTGTGAAGAGAAATTGTCTTCCCACAGTGCTAACAATTTAAAATGAATTTTTGAATTACGGTGTCAGACTCCTCTGTTTTTGTGTAACAACAGAAAGAAAGTATCTTCTGTGAAGAGAAATTGTCTTCCCACAGTGCTAACAATTTAAAATGAATTTTTGAATTATGGTGTCAGACTCCTCTGTTTTTGTGTAACAACAGAAAGAAAGTGGAAAATGTAAGAAAGTGATAGATGGACCCATTGTTCTGCAGAAGAAAAGGTCTGATTGTACACTAGCTTAGAATTCTCAACCCTCTCCCAGCTGTTTAGATGCAGGAATCTAGCTTGGATGCTGGGTTGTCAGCACAGGAGGGCCTTTGATGAAATAGAAACTGTTTAAAGAGTGCCTGGTGACAAAAAGTGAGGTCATTCCTAGTGCAAAAAAGTTGCCACTTCTTAAACTGTTTTGTAAATTCGTTTCATTGATCAACTTTTAATGTGCATTTGACCTAAACCCCAAAGTGGTATCAACAATTCTGAAAAATACCAGCCTTGGCTAATGATATGTACTTCTGATTCACATGGGACATTACTAATGTTCTCTGCCTAAAGCATAGAGTCCATTCAGGGTTATATAAAGAATGAGTGGGAAGACATTAGGGTCCTTGAGGATGACAGCTCTCACGGATGACTGCACTCTCTCCAGGCTAATGTCAGCAGAGGCGAACAAGCACTGCACAATTCCAAACTTTTCTGTGTCTTTCAGAGGAGCCAGGGTTGGGTCTTCAAGATCAGCTACTCCTTCATCAGACAGAACGTGGAGCTGAAATGACACATTTACACAAATTTACTTAAAACACGTCATAGAAAATCCACATAGTTAGATAGTAATGCACTTCTAGGTAATTACGGAGAAAAGCTAAATTGTTTTTTAAATTCCCCATTGGAGTTTAACTGGAGCAGGAAAACCCTTGATAAGGTGTAACAAGATATATTTGATCCAGGCCAGAACCTCAGGCCTATTCAATTTGCCTGTCTGAATCCCCACTCTCTGAGCTCTGCTTCCTACCAAACCATTAACTCCAATAGATTAGAACGGTAGGAAGATACCTTTCTTGTGCACACAGATAGGGATCGTCTGTTTTTTTATTTTAATATAGATATGAGCATTTCTTATATATTGCATGAACAGCTCAAAGGTAGGTACCATCATTTAGTTATGCTCCCTGCCTTAAGAGTTTTTGCCGTTGTTACACAGACCTCCCTTCTCGC